GAGCCACACAAAGCACAGGTGAGAATTGATTTACGAAATGTTATAAGTCACTACTTAATTTCCACTATTGTGCCTAATTACTTCAGTCCAGCTGGATTTGCTAATTGCGATTCACTCACGGCTTAGTATGTACCTGTGCCTGAAACGTGACTATGTCTGAAACGTTATTATAAACATAACCTATATGTAGTAAATTATTTGAACTACACATCCAAGTAGCTTATCAGTCTGAATTGGTTAGGTCAATGACCTATTTATTTGAATTGTATCCATTTGGACCGCACCATTCACCTTTTCGCGTACATCAAGGCTTCTAGAAGTCACTATTACACAAAACCATTACTACTCGAACTGGCCAATTATGGGCAAGCCATATCCTCGCGACGCGAAGCAAGCGGCTTGCCGCTTGTTACATATATAAAAATCAAAATGTCTGTATGAAACGCGTCAGTCACGCTTTAAGGGCTATTGCTCCGGAACGGTGCGGGCTACGGGGGTGGAATTTTGGACTAAAGTCGGACGCGTGCATCTGTTTGTCGTATTAAATTTTGGTGGGGGTGCGCTTGCCGGTTTGCACGTGGCGGGCGCATCTTTGCGGAATTTTGGGCCGCGGCCGGCGCCGAGCAGACGGCACGCGCCCTAGGCTCAGATTGTTCGCTGCGAAAATGAGGGAAAACAGAGTCGGAGGTCGTTGACCTTTGGCAATGAATACCGGACCAGGGCACCGCCGGCCAAGAGGAGACGCCAAATTTATTCTGGCCATAACTCGGCCGCTCCTGGGCCGATTTTAATGAAAATTGATTTATTACGCTGCGCGTAATGCTGTCCCTCTAGTTATAAATAAATTATATTATAAATTATTATTAGTCCTGTGTTATTACACAGGACACACACCATTTTTCGAGGCAAAGTGGTGCCCAAAAGTGGTCTCGTGTCTGTACACAAACATCAGTAGTTTAAGAAACAAAATTGATGAGTTTGAGGGCCTAGTGGAAGAGAAAAGCCCCGACATTATAGGGATATCAGAAGTGTGGTTGAAGGATCGCTATGTGCTGAATGGTTACCACCCAGTACTGAGGCATGACAGAGATGCAAATAAGAAAGGTGGGGGAGTCATGCTGTTTGTAAGAGATTGTTTTCAGACTACTGAATGTTCTCAGTTAAATGAAATTGGCTTTGAAGAATCAGTGTGGTGTACTATACATCTGTCTCATGCTGAAAAGCTTCTAGTAGGGGTGTGCTACAGGTCCCCAAACTCCTGCAAAGTAAACAATGACAAGTTGATACTACTAGTTAAAGAAGCCATGCAAATGAAGATGAAAAATGTTATTATTATGGGTGATTTCAATTTTCCTCGTATATGTTGGGAAGATGGATACGTTGAAGGGCCAGGGGATAGTGAGGAGGCAACTTTCTTTGAAACTATGCAAAATCTGTACCTTCAGCAGCATGTTAATTTTAAAACTCGCTACAGAATCGGTCAATCTCCATCAACATTGGATCTAATATTTTCCAACCGTGGACACTTAGTAGATGAACTGGAAGCTAGTCAACCCTTGGGTAAAAGTGACCATGTTGTGATTACCTGGAATTGCATTTACGAAGAGCATGACAAGATGAAGGCATGTGAATTTTTCAAGAGATACAACTTCGGCAAAGGGAATTATGTAGATATGTCAAATCACCTGAGAAGGACAGAATGGAGTGTGATAAGCCCAATGAATGTGCAGCAAACTTGGTCCTTCATCAAAAGGGAATTGCACCTGGCTATCAGCAAGTATGTGCCCATTTTCACGAAGAAGACAAGAAAGAAGAAGATACCATGGTGGAACAAAGCTTTGACCAAAGAAGTGAAGAAAAAGCATAAAGCCTGGAAGGAATATGCGAGAACCAAGAGAAGTGAAGAGTACGAAGCATATGCTAAGCAGAGAAACCGAACTACTTGTATGTTGCGGAAAGCGAGGTCCGAATATGAGGCAAAACTTACTGAAGGCTTGAAAACAAACCCCGGTAAGCTATACAAATATGTAAGATGTCGTTCAAATGTGAGAGCACAGGTTGGACCCCTGGAAAAGGATGATGGGATGTTAACTGAAAACGATTATGAAACAGCTGAAGAACTGAATAAGTACTTTCAAACTGTATTTGTTGATGAGGATATGACAAACATCCCAAACTTTACCCAGGCCGTCAGTGATTCATCTGTATTGAACAGCATCACAATCACTTCCGAAGAAGTTCTACGCGAGCTACAAAAGCTGCAACCAGGCAAAGCAGGTGGACCTGATGAGTTACCAGCTGTGGTGCTAAAATCATGTGCTGAGGTACTGGTTTCTCCTCTGACCATGCTTTTCCAGAAGTCTCTGTCTGCTGGCGAGCTCCCTGGTGATTGGAAACAGGCATGCATCATTCCATTGTTCAAGAAAGGAAAGAGAGCAAGACCCAATAATTATCGGCCCATTAGCCTTACAAGTCAAGTTTGCAAAATGCTAGAAAGAATAGTAAAGAAGCACATCATCAACCACTTAGAAGAGAATGACTTTATATCACCTCACCAGCATGGGTTTGTAAAACACCGATCGTGTCAATCGAATTTATTAGAATCACTCGAGGATTGGACCAAGACAGTAGATGAGGGAGCAGGACTTGACATAATTTACCTGGACTATCAGAAAGCTTTTGACACTGTGCCGCTCAGAAGACTCTGTGTGAAGCTGCAAGGTTATAATATCAAGGGAGAAGTCCTTGCTTGGATATCAGACTTCTTGAGTAACCGTACCCAGAGAATTTCGGTTGGTAACAAGTTGTCCACATGGTCCAGAGTCAGAAGTGGGGTACCCCAAGGTTCGGTGTTAGGTCCTGTATTATTCATCATTTATGTCAATGAACTACCAAGCCTGGTCAGAAGCAAGATTAAAATGTACGCAGACGATACCAAGTTGTATGGACCTGTTAGTAATCAAAGTGATGCTCTAAAGCTGCAAGCTGACCTGGATATACTCACCAAGTGGTCTGGAGAGTGGTTGTTGCAATTCAATTTGGAAAAATGCAAAGTAATGCATTGCGGCTCCCAAAATCCTGGATTCACTTACACAATGAAAACAGTAACTGGGCGGCCACAAATGCTTGAGGAAACTCTTGTAGAAAAGGACCTTGGAGTGTACATTACCAACACACTGAAACCTTCATTGAACTGTTCTAAGTCAGCAAACAAGGCCATGTCTGCCCTCAGGGTACTGAGGCTGACCTTTGGTCAATTAACAGTGAAGAACTTCAAAACCCTTTTTTCGGTGTATGTTAGACCTCATCTTGAGCACTGTGTGCAAGCGGCTGGTCCCTATTTGAATAAGGACATGCAAGCACTTGAAAAAATACAAAGGAGGGCCACTAAACTAGTCCATGGATTGAAAAGAGTACCATATGAAGAACGTTTGAAAGTACTAAACATGACAAGTATGGAAGAAAGGATCAGAAGAGGAGATTTGATAGAAACATTTAAGATTCTTAAGGGGAAATTGAACGTACGCCCAGGTCAATTTTTCACTAGCCACCACGGAAGGACGACCAGAGGTCACCAGCTCAAACTTGAGATACGGAGGTCCAGGACCCAAGCTCGAGCAAAATTCTTTGCAAACAGAGTAGTCTCAGCATGGAACAAGCTGTCTCAGGAGATCATAATGTCTGAAAACACAAACACTTTCAAGAACCGGCTAGACAAGCTCAGGACCACTACGGCGCTATCCTCTCTCTTTAACATCCACAGTACCTAAGTTACCCAGTCTGGCCCAGTTTAATGCTCGAAGTGAGCACCGAATAGACCCTGTCTACCATAGCTCACTATATTAAACTTAAACTTAACTTAAACACCCTGCAAAAATGGTAAAATTGACCTTGTGCGCATAATATCAGATAAATTAATTGAAAAAAGGTCCAGAATATATTTTCGAACTTGGTTCTTCTTTGGTGGAATAAAAAAAAATCTTCAAAAAAATACATTTAAAAGAAGGTGTCGTTGACTGTGCAGCTCTCACTCAAGGCATTCAGCAATAAAAAAATCAAAAAATCAAAAAAATCTTTTTTTTATTCCACTGAAGAAGAACCAAGTTCGAAAATACATTCTTGACCTTTTTTCAATTAATTTATCTGATATTATGAGCACAAGGTCAATTTTACCATTTTTATTGATTACAATCATGCTCAACAAAACGTTGTACCATATAAAATTACACCCTGCCTTTATCTCTTGTTAGGTACTTACTCATTTTATATAACATTTTATGCACCATACACAGAGAAGTATGGAAGTGGTAATGCTATTTTTATAGCTATCACATATTTTCCGTAAGGCAGTGTGTCAAGCTGTGGGCTGCGGGTCAGTGCGGAACAGCAGTAATGTTACCAACGATGCTCAAGCTATTTATTTTCTACCTTGACCTATAGGAGAACCAGTGAGAGCTGCACAGTCAACGACACCTTCTTTTAAATGTATTTTACTTAAGAACGAAAAATCATCTATGCGATCTATTTCTAGGCCTTGTTTTAGTTTGATGTGGGGAATGGGATCAGTTGCCACTTCCACTTTGATTTTGCAGGGTGGTGTGACGGGATAGGCGGCATACTCACAGAGTCTTCCCAATTTTGTCGATTGTAAGTATTCGACCCTTTTGATGCAGCCATGGTTTCGAGTTATCTTCACCTGCCAATTTTAATTTGACAGAAATTAACCAAATTCACACAGCGCACTCTACACAAATGAACAAATTGAAATGCGTGTGAAGTAAACACTCGTGGAAATTTTTACATTTATGGCGCAAGTTTCATTTGTGAAATATCAAGTTTCAAATAAATAATATTTCAGCAATTTAAGGGCAGGATAAAGTTTTTTTGAGAGCCTCATTTTTACAAAATTAATTTTGAAAAATTTCCGACGGAGACATAAAGGGGAAGAGGGCAGAATCAAACACAGAAGTGTTTTGCCTCTTCAAAAGTAGTTCATTTTACTGGGAAGTTTTGGCTTCAGGAACAAAGATTAATATCAAAATTTGATACAAAAAACATTTAACAGCCTAGCTGGTCATTTTCCTCTTATTTGACTTCATACAAAATCAACTCCCGCCAAAATTTGACCCTGCTACTCTATGATTGGCGGAAATCTGAGATACGTCATCATTTAAATTCTGTTGTTGCAGTCCGTTGGTGGTCGTCGACCGGCGTTCCCGCGTTTTGGTGTTTTGTACAGTTTGAACCCAGCAATCACACATTTAAAATGGTTAGTACGATAAAATGCATGAGTTTTGTTTAATTGAGCATTAACTAAGCAAAACGTGGCTTGTGTCACCTGGCGGTTGTGCTGAGCCCCTTGTTTCCTCGATTCACAGGCGGGAGGGAAGGCCGGCAAGGACAGTGGAAAGGCTAAGGCCCGTGCAGTTTCGCGGTCAGCGAGGGCAGGACTTCAGGTATGTATATGTAAAATACCCTCTCTTCCATTCGTGCAACTGCGCTCAATTTTTGCTTTTTGTTGCGCAATTGGGACGTCAACGTTTTCTGACGTTTTCACCATGTAGACGTATATGGCGCAGTGATGCAATATTTGTTTTTGGTTGTAGATACTTTGTTAAAAGAAATGTGTTTTTAAATAAAAAAGATACTTCTAAGTAGATTTTAGATTTACTCCTCAGAAGATATTGTTTAATTGTAGTTTAAATAAATATTTACTGTTGTTGACCAATCTTATCGGACAACGGAATTGTAGTTATCATTTTCTGTGAACATGGCCTATCAGCATGGGTCATGGGCATTGGGCTGTGCTGCTAATTCAATTTTTCATGCATAAAATTTCCTTTTGGATTTTTGACCGCCCATTGACAAAACGTTGGATGCATTGCTTTCAGCTACTAGAGCTTCTCATTCTCAAATTTTAGTTATAGGTAATATTAATGAAGCTCTTGTTTGTATCCCAAGCCGAGGTAGCACATTGTTGATAGGCAAAAATGAAAGTGGGCAGTTCTGATGTGGTATATTTGCTTAACTTGAAAAATGTCAGTAAAATGTTATTTTGTACGGAGTTCAATTGCTAACTGATAGGTATGTTCTGGATTTTGTTCTGTGACATTTTGTAAATATATATTGCAAAACTACTCTCTTGGTGTTGATGGGATACTTGCCTTGGTTACCTCAGGTTAATAGGAGACTGAACTAAGCAGGATTATGCACAGAGACAAAACTACTAATTTTTTTGTAATGATCATTGATAGTCTGATGGTTGAATGTGAAACTTGTTGGCTCAATCAATGTACTCTCATTGCATTAGTTATTGTATGCTTCTCCATATCCTCTGTGCTTGTCAAAATTGGATAAATGTACCTTAGGTCTGTCCTGGCATGGATATTTCCTTATTTCTTAGATATCACTGCTTGGCACTAACTGCCAATTAGTATGTGAACATAAGTATTCCTACCATTTACTAACATTGATGGTATTTTATTGTCATTGTGGTCTGCTTGCAGGTTCCTAATATATCTTTAAGCACCTGTTTTATCATTAAGCCTAACTAGTGATTATATGGATCTGGTTCTGTCATTTACAATGCCTGTCTGGTGTTAGAGTCTCGTATGCTGCCACAGTTTTTGTTCCATTGCTGACACTGCTCCCTCCGCTCTTCAGTTCCCAGTGGGTCGTATTCATAGGCACCTGAAGAACCGCACTACCTCTCACGGGCGGGTTGGAGCCACAGCAGCTGTCTACAGCGCCGCCATCTTGGAGTACCTCACTGCTGAGGTGAGTCTTAAAGCCTGAACAAAACCATAACCAATATTGGCCGCTATAAGGCAACGCTGCGCTGACATCGCGTGGGTGTGTTTGGGAGGTGCTGCGTTGGGTTTTAATTTATGTTGTGCTCTCTGATCGTGCCTGTTTCGCTTTTTTATCAACCTACGATAAATTTGTTTGATCTCGTCGTTGGTGTTTATCGTCCAAAGCACTCGACTGCCCTCCACGTGCGCATTCCCAATTCGTACGTCGATGACGTGTCTTGTTTGCATAGAGTGATACGTTTCCCGCTCGTACCAAGCCACGCCCTCTGTCGTAGCGCGACTGTACTGCCATCTGTCGTTCGATCCCACAACTAATCCATCTCCGCCGTCACAGGTGCTCGAGTTGGCCGGTAACGCGTCCAAGGATCTGCGCGTGAAGCGTATCACCCCGCGGCATCTTCAGCTGGCCATCCGCGGAGACGAGGAGCTCGACAGCCTCATCAAGGCCACCATCGCCGGCGGTGGAGTGATCCCGCACATCCACAAGTCCCTCATCGGCAAGAAGGGCGGTCCGTCGCAACCTGGCAACAAGTAGACATCGCCGAGTGGTCATCATCTCATGTACAAACACTCATTCACCACGGACTGGGCCGGCACCAGCAGCCGCGGCCGATTTTAGACGGCGCATGCGCACCGCTGACCGCCATGCTAGTGCGGTGTCACACATGACCGGGCCGCCCCGTGTTTTAGATAGGCGCTACATGTCGCGGCTTCGGCTGGCACCGGTTTTAGCGCCATGATTCAGCATTGCCTCCATTCCCTGACGATTGGCAGTCGTGTGGTTTTTAGGGGCTCGCGCGCGGGGGAGTGGTTGTACGTCTGATTTGTGCGAGGTGTGTGCGCTGGGGCCCGCGCGGTGCGGCGCCGGACTCCCGGGGCCGACGCATTGCCTGGACCTGATCATCATCGCTCGCTGCATCATCCAATACAAATCGTTCGACCATTCTCATACGCGTGTTTGGTGGGAGGTCGAGTGCTTTGAGCGTAGCGCGTGGGACAGCTGATAAAGTAGCGAACTGATTCTGAAATTAGGCCGTTGTATAGCCATTTCCTTGATTGCCTTCACTTTTAAATGGACTCGTTCGCCTGTTGGTGGTGTGTGGACAGTCACAAATTAACCTCTTTAGGCTTTTCATGCCGTACTTTTCGTGAATACCATTGATGCATCTATTCTTAGGTCTCTTGGACGCCGAAACAGAACGCCCAAAACTGCTCTTAAGCTCAAACATTCGATACGAGTCGGTATTCACCTTCATATAGCTCGATATTGGAGAAGTGAGGTGGTGGGAACACCGGAAACAAAGCTAGCCCGCAGATGGCGCTCGTCTCGCCATTCACAACTGAGATCAATGGTCCTACACCGCGGTCACGGGGCAGCTGGCTCGCTCGCTGCTGTTCAAACGGGGACGCGCTATCCGCTGCCCTTCTGGTGCATGCGTGTGTGGGGGGGGGGGAGTGTGTGTGGAGAGGGGGCAGGTGGCCGGAAGTGTGCTTGCCTCACGCAGCGACGCTACTGGAAGGGGTCGAGGTGGCCAGTTGCGAGTACCCTGGGGCGGCCCCACCGCAGCCGGAGCGCTAATTAGCGACGGCCGAGGGGGACGAGTTTCTGCTGTTCGCCAGGCGTTACGCTGGCTCGGGCTGTGCGTGCAATAGAACTAGCCCTATATCGCAGAGAGCACCGATACGTTTGATTATCGATTATCGACCGAGGGTATTGATCGATGCACCACTTTCCACGTGTCACAGACATCCAACTCCTTATCGCAAACACGGCTAAAGGGCACCTAGCATTGAAATGCGGTCGATGGATAAGGATTTCCCATAACAATTGTAGCGGTTTTACAGGATACAGTCCGTTCATGCTACGGGCGAGATATTGTTACGGCTGCAGGGGGTTACTCTCATTGCACAATACGCAGACCACATTGTTTTTTCAAACGTTTCTAGCCCTACTAAACCTATGATCGCAGCTGGCAGTGCACGGAAAGGACGAAGCTAACGGCTAAAGTTGCCGCTGCAGTACTGCCGCTTGAAGTACTGAAGTATAAGCGACCTCTGGGTACCTCATCATGCTTCGCAAATGAAAACCATTCGGCAATCCACGCCACGGTGTATTGGTAAAAACTGATTTCGGACATGACCAAACGAATGAGAGAAAATCGCTCCGAAAACACCTGCAGGCACTGCAAATGACAAGTCCCTTCAAAGAACCTGAAAATAAATTGCACAAAATAGGCACGCGTAGAAACCACCTCAACGAGTGTTAAAAGGGATTATCAGGGTTTAAAAATTGAAAGGAATCGGCATAAATTTCCAATCAATGAACTCCCCAGACTCTGCCGATTCTAAATATATGCATAAAATGTAAATCGGTACCAAAATTTGCGAGATATAGCCGCTTCAAAATTGACAAAATTGTACTTACTCACGCAAAACAAGTACTTGGGCGGCCAAGTTGGCCCATCACTAAAATGTAAACAAAGAGCAGCCTTGGGAAATTTCGCCAAGGCCGCCGCACCGCACTGGCGATTTCCACAAGACTGTTTTGTTTTTGTCTGTTGTTTTTAGGGCCTTGCAACAAGATTTCAGTGCTTGGCATTGGATTTGGATATGAACAAATTGAAGATTTGCTTTTCAATAAGACAGCAAGAGTTATCAACATTGCCAAAGTTATTATGTGGGTGTGATTTGAATAGCTTGTTTGCTGATCATCAAAATCTTGATGTTAATATCATTTAAATGTGAACAATTTTCAAGGGTAAATTTGAGTGTTTTATTTCAATAAATTGAAATGTAAGTGCATCAGGCACAAGAGCTAAGTTTCAATCTGATTATTTTGTCAATAGTGTTGAATCTAATGTAACGTCTTGCGAGAAAGCTTACCTAAGTGACTGAAGAAAGCGCTACAGTTTTTCAAAATCAATGTTGATCTGTTTTTTTCGAAAAACAGGTTGTACAACATGATGTGACATGACCTCTGTGCCCTGTACGTCACCCCTGCTGCTGCAGCAGAGCCCCGGCTTCAACTATAGTTTGTTATGGGTGGGCTCTCCGTGAACGTCTTGGTGCATTTCTACATATTGTTGCTGTGAAAGGACGGTGCATGAAAAAAATATGTAACTTGTATGTTTTTTATTGCCCTGGTACCTACTTAGTGTATATTTTTGTTGTTTATGAGTGATAAATGAATATATTTTGAGGAAAATTGAGTCATTTCAGTTTTAGTTTGTGGAACAGAACAGAAGAAGCTGCTGAGTGCGGATCATGCTTCAATTGAGAGAATCATCCTCAGTTATCTACATATAAGCATGCTTTGTAAGCTCCATGCATTTTGCCAGCTTCTACTTGCTAGTCAAAGTTGTAAGAAGGGTTAGGGAGAACAATTGGTACACATGCCACCATGTGCAATCACCAAACGAATGAACGTGAGGGCCAAGTCCTTCACACAGCATGGATACTTATGTATAGGTACTGCACTAATGTATATGTTCATTATGTTCATATTAGCAACTCACCCAGGCAGCCTGCCTTGTGGTATTTCTGAGTTTAAGATTTTGCAAGACTCACACTAATCAATAAGGTAAATTATATTGATATGTATGGATGAACAATGTGCAAAGGGGTCGCACGTGCCTGCTCAGTGCTCAGCCATGGATGCACGTGCCTTCTCAACAATGGTCGTGCTTGCAGACATCTCCATGGACGAACAATGTGCAAAGGGGGGGGGGGGCGGAGGGGGCGTGCCTCCGCGGCCGCCTGTTGGCTCAGCCGCTGCTGCTGCTTGGCGCCGCTGCTGAGCGCTGCCGGAGACGCCGCTCGCTGCCGGAGCTGCCGGAACAGTCACCGGAGCTGCCGCCCGCTGCCGGAGCTGCGGGAGCCGGGCCCGCCGCCCATCTGTCAGGACCGCCGACGGCAGCACGCCCGTCTGTCAGTGCCGGCAGTGGACGCGCGCGGGTGCGGGCCGGGTACGGACGCGCGCGGGTGCGCGCCGGCTATGGACGCGCGCGCGCTTGCGTGCCGACGATGGGCGCGTGCGCGCGCTTGCGTACCGACGAGGGGCGCGCGCGCGTGTATGCCGACCATGGCTGCCGCCCGCTGCCGGAGCTGCGGGAACCGGGCCCGCCGCCCATCTGTCAGGACCGCCGACGGCAGCACGCCCGTCGGTCAGGGTCTGTCAGTGCCGGCTGTGGACGCGCGCGGGTGCGCGCCGGCTATGGACGCGCGCGCGCTTGCGTGCCGACGATGGGCGCGCGCGCGTGCATGCCGGCCATGGCCGCGCGCGTGCGCCCCAGCCATGGACGCGCGCTAATGCGCGCCGGCGATGGGCACGCACGTGCCTGCTCGGCAATGGATGAGCGACGAGCGTGCCTTCTCGGAAATGAGTATACATGCAGACATCTTCATGGATGGACGCTTTCAATATGTTCAATGTGTTGAGACGGATCTGAGTAAATTGGAGAGAAACTAGGATAGTTTTAGTCCTGCTCAACTGGTTCTGCCAATAAGTACAAACACCACCTTGCTGCCAACTGCTTACCAAATACCGCATCTGTTGTACCCTTGCATTATGCATATGTACATACAGAAACAATTACAGTCTGTTGAAATCTGAAAACATGCACTGCTGAGCACTGTGGATGAATCTGTATGAACCGTGTGGCCCAGCGAAACTTTCTGGACCAGGTTATAATTGACAGTGAATTAGTAATCAATCCTTGCGAAGAGAAAATAGATGATTGTGCCTTAGATGAGCATAATGAAGAAGCGTTCCTGAAGTTGAGTTAGTGCCTTTCCATCATCCATGCCAGATTGCCAAAACACACCATTTCAATACTGTCCCAAAAATATATTTCAAAACACTTATTGCATGGCTATACGCACCAGCTTACTCGGTCACCACACTCAAACCAAGGCCATATAATGGTAGTTAAGTAGACTCAAACACAGTCTACTGATACAAACGTCACTGGTCTCAAGTCTGTGCTCAATGCACCAGCTGTACACTACTCACAATACGTAAGGACTCAACGTCAGCCACCAATTTTCTACATCAAATTCACATCAGGTTTTCAAAGTAACAATGTATGTGCCACTTCTGTACTTTGTGCTATAAACACAGAATAAATGATATCAGTCAGCAATGCATTGCTCATTGTCAGCCAGTCTGCAAAGTCAGTCCGCAGGCTTCGCAAGTAAGTGCAAAGTCTGCGGAGATCAGTTGCTTTACACACCACCAATATCATGCTGCAATGTGCTCAAAATATGCCCATACACCAACCACAAAGCACAACCATGAAGCACCACTGATAACACTTAACCTCAAAGCACACAACATGATAATTTATTTATTTTGAGTACCTACCTACAGAAACAGAATGTCTCAAGGCCACTCGTGATCACTCCGAAATCTGCCAGTCGCTCAGCCTTGAACATTGACATTATTTCATCTGAAATCTATTTTCTTCACTTGATCAAAGTTGATCTGCGTCATACATCTTACACCGGATGTCTCGAATTATTAGTAACGTTCAGCACTTAGCATTAACATTACAAATGATAGGTAACTTTGATTCAACGTTCCATCCAAGCTTCTTCATTGCTGGAGCTATATCACTTTCAAGTTTAATTGCTTGAACTAAGACATTCTTGAATTACACTCGGGATGAGCTTAGTTTGAAAGCACACAACATATTTTTTTAATTATTTTGATAACCCACAGGATATCCAGAAGCTACACGCACTTGCACTGGCTACAAAGCCCACAAGTCTTGAACATTCAAATATGAATAGGAACAGCTTTGTTTCGCACAGATTTCGCACATGGCGGGATGGCGCCATTCCGTCCAACTCATACAGCCTCAGAAATTACAACAACACACTCAACTTACGGAATATCCGTCAAACAAATCTTATTTACGACGACACGAGCCAATGCTAACAACGCTTGCC